CTGCGCGAATTGAGAATTGACGGAACGAAACGACGTCGCGCGCACCAACCACCGTCGGCCGCGGCCGGTTGCGGCTGCTGTTAATCGGTGTAACGCGCGCGGCGCTCTTTCGGCGCGCCAAGCCAGAAAATTGAAATATAAATAAAAGTTGCATACGGACACACATGCAAATACACTCGTGTAAACTAGACATCTATACATATATAAAACATAGAAGTCGGTGGTGCCACGCTGTTTATGGCTCCGGAATGGCTGGACTGATTTTTATCGGCTTTCATTTGTTGTGGATATGTCTTTGTTCCGTATATCGCATAAGGAAATTAGTGGAAAAGAATTTACACAAGAAAATGAATCGTAAATGGCTTAGTAACACGTGAATTACTGAATTTGAAATGTTTTTCAATGTTATTGGTTGATTTTTCGTAGAAACGATAAAATAATACTTACAAAATTAAGTTTTTCTTTGAAAGGAATATGTTGAAGTATTTTTATAGTAAAATGAGCGGAACTGTTAAACTACAAGTAATTTCTCATGTATTTTTGTTTGCAAAATCTGTTGGTAAGCGTATAACACAACAACGCCTAAACCAATTTGGCCAATTCTTTTTTTTAAATGTTCGTTATAGTCCACGGATGGTTTTTACGGTGAGAAAAATTCGAATAATTGCCGGGAAAACCCTATAGACAGCCCTTTTCTATAGGATAAAAGTTAGCATTGAGATTCAATCATTGTTATAGTTAAATAGTTGAATCCGAGATGGCGCGCTGAAGTGTATTATTAACAATTCTTTTATAATTAATTTCTTTAAAATAAAATTGCGAATCTTTTTGATAGAATTGACTCATACAATGTCTAGAACAAGTGAGTAAAAACGAATTACATTTTTATTAAACACTACCGGGACGAAGTCGCGGGCAAAAGTTAATTAGAAATAAATATTTACATTTGAAAATCAACCAGTGTATAAATTTAATACTTTTGTGTTTGCGACGGTGGTAGTAAAATAATATTAAATTTTGAAACGAAAAATTTCAATATTTTAAAATAAAACGCAATAAAACCAAGAAAACCGAAATATCTTCGAAAATATTTAATATACGACATTGGTAAATTAACTGTATCAAAAAGAAATAAATTTTGCATTTATGAAGTGCAAAAAACTTTAAAACTTTCTAAATTTCAAAGGAAAAACCACATATTTCAAGTTGCACTAGTGTCGCTTCCCAGAAATATTTCATTTTTAGCATTAATTTTATCATAATAATAAATTCAATCAATAAAATTATGAAATTTGCTCACGGCACTTTCAATATATTAATTAAACAAAATTTGAAAACGGAAAATTTTAAACATTTTATATATTGCACCTAAATTTCACGATTTGTCCCATTTCAGGTGATTTCAGCATCGCACTCTAAATCTCAACTCCGAGTCGCGTCTCTCTGAAAATACACCGCATGTGAATGACACTATATTTCATAAACCGAGACGCTCCGCGCGCGATAATCAAGTGAAAAATTACCGCACCGATAAATTCTCGGAGATTCTCAAAACATTTTCGACATTTTTTCACTTCAAAATATATGTGTAGCCGCCGTATATTTTTAACCCAATATAAAATATACACTCACTAAATAAAAATTCAAATTCATTTTCAGGTTTCCCAAAGCCTCATGCCTCATCGCCAGTATCGGGTAAGTTGATAAGTTTATTTACATTCACTTTAGTGATGAGTCGACGAAGCAGTAGTCATCAGCTCGAATGAAAAACAATGATTCCATTATAGCGAAATATCAGAAAAATGACTAGAAGATTAATTTTGATATCAAACTATATCATTCACATGGGGAATGTGCTTGAAATGCATTCTGTTGTATTTGATTCCTTTAAATATCTACTCGTACTAGGGGAATAGACTAATTAATTTTCGGTGGGATGTGGGATTATTTGAGTCTGCCGAGACGATTTGTTGCTCGATTTGTCGCTGTGTGCGCAAAATTACAGCCTGAACGGTAAAGTACTCGCCGTTAAAGACGATGTACATATGAGTAATTTGTATTTTTACGTGCGCGTCTCGCCGAGAGCGCGCGTGTGCTATTTCGGGGTGTCTGTCGGTCTGACACACATCACGCGCATCATCATCAGCTTGCACCCTCTTGCGGCCACTTAGCACGCGATTTCAACTCTTTCAATGAATTACCTCTACGCATCTAAAGACGAAAAAATATATAAAATGCCAGAAGAAAATCATCTGGTTACCGTACAGTTGTGAGTAATTCTCACACAAGATAGTCGCCGAGTTTGGTAACCCTAGTGTATAGTTTGGTTAGACTATGCTGTTGCTTAGACTCTCATTCTCGCGTCGACAGAAATAAATAAACGTCGTTATGCAGGCGAGAGTCGCGGGCGATGCACGTCGTGCCATATGACATCGAACACCCAAACACACTTCCCGACGGCTTACAAACCCTCAATACGACGTTTCAATTTGCAAGAAATAATCAACGCAGTAACAAATCTTGTTAGTAAAGACATTAACTGCTTCTCTCTCTGCATCTTGGCGCTGTTTTTTTTTTCTGTGCGGAGTTATTTGTTTATTTTGATCAGTCTAGAACTGCGAGGATTTCGTGGCGCGTCGACGATGTGAATTATTCTCTCGCGCAAAAGCTTAGATTTAGAAGAAGCTGGAAAGTTGGTTCGATGGAGCGCGCAGGGCACTGCAACAACATACGGCACGCTTCGAATTTTCCATTAGCGCGATCTATTTCGGTGGCGCGGCGCAGCGCCGCGACGCTTTTTCCTATTCTTCTATAATTACCAGCGCGGAGGCACTTCGTGAGATGCATGCATTCCCCTCCGACGCTAAATCCATAAACCAGAAAACACACAAACGCGCTCCGAAGTTTTCTCTTGGCTAATCTCGCGCGCCAAACAAGTTCAAGATGAACACGCCAGAGACTAATTACTTTATCAACACAAGTATATGCTATGAAGTTATTAATTGACAATTCATGTATTGATTGTACGTGCGTGCGCTCGAATCGACAATTACCCGCTGCAAGAATGGTAAATATTTACATTTTACGATCGCGACGCGCATAAATATCACCGAGATGAAAAAAATTGAATTGATTGATTGATTAATTTAATTTTCGTCCTCTTTGTGACTTTGATCGTCGCAGCAGGCAAATGTGCAACCATGCATTATGATTGAGTCTGTAAGTAGCGCACATAGACGATAATGAGGCCATTTATAAAATGTGCCTGCTTGGGACAATAAAATTACACTCATTAAATTTCCCCCCTTCTTCCCTCCACGTTTTCTTCATCATCAGACGTCGATGAGGTTGTGAACAAGGCGTTTGAATCTAATCTATCAAAATGCATTGTTTTTGATTAGTTTGTATCGTAATTTGTAAATTGTATATAAAAATGCGCGTTTGTCGCATACAGCAACATCGTTTCTTTTCTGCGCGAGCTCTCGCGTTGTGTGTGCTCCGGTGGCATCTCGGCTGGCCACCGTAGCAGAAACTGTTGAGTTACCCGGTTTTCCATTTACAGTGATTCTCTCCATATATGATATACTTGATCTTTATTCGCACCGAGGTATAATGCGCGCGCGGACAACAACGAGCGTGCGTGTTTTGCGTGTGCAGGTCGCGAAGATGATGACGATGGCAGCCGACGTCGTGGTCGTCGTCGTCAGAAGGGCCTTGTAAGGTCGTCAGGCCGTCAACACACAATCAACACGGTGTTGTTGGTGCTGCTGCTTTTTTTTCTTCGTTCGTATTTCGTTCTTCTTGATTAGTTGTTGGTTGGTTTTTCCGAGGTGGTGTGCATGACAATCCTTTTGTGGATGCGCAAGAAAAATATGACATTTGTAATGGAGTCGCCAGTGTATGGCACGTCACGGTGTTCTGCGCGAGAAATTTCCTCCTCGGCTAAAGGACGAAGTCGTCGGCCGGCGCTGGCTTTTCGATGAGTGCTGCATCAACGCGTCAGCGAAGCGGAGTTGAGCTAGTTTCGCAAGTCGCGTTATGGCTTAATTAGTTCATTGCCATTTTCTAATTGTTTCAGCATGCGACACGATAAAGTGCACTCGGTGCATGCCGTCAATATTTTATTAATGGCGACGTAATACCACCACCACCACTTTTTCTTCCTTGCCTATACAAAGTGTTGTGTTGTTGGGTTTTATTTTATGTTTGGCGTAGATTTACGTGTGTATGCTGTCCGAGAGCATACTCTACGTGTTTATAAAGAGTAATTTTTTCTCGAGCGTGTGGCGCGGAAGGCGCCCGCGAAGAGGGAATTCGCGAATAATGCCGCGAACGTGTGTACATTTCTATAGCGGGCATTTGCATATAATGCGAGCGCGCCGGGCCGGCGAAGACGCCGCCGCCTTTCATCCTGCTGGCCGCTGCAGCGGCTGCGTTGGTCGCACACGGCGAGAAAACGCCGAGCAAGGTCGGGTGGTCCAACAAATGACCACCGCACGACGAAAAAACACCGCAAAATTACCCAAAACCCTTCAAACACCAAAAATTCAAGGTTTTTCTCCTCCAAAACAATAATAATCAATTTTTTTTGGCAGTTTTATTTTTATATCGCGAGATAATAATTTTTTCGTTATCGGTAATGATGCGGCACGTGTGCTTCACACTCCTACAATGTTGAAATTGATTAATATGCAGCCGGAGCGAAAGGCATTCCAAACATTTATCGCGCGCACATTGTGCAGACTCGGCGTAAGTGACGATGAAATTATGCGCCGCATTCTTCGCCGCAGACTCCCAAGAAGAGCGCGGCTGTTACAATAATAATTACGCTAATTGCAAACAAACGCGGCGGCGATTGTTTGCAGGTTGCGCAATGCAACGCACACACATAACGCCCGGCAGCGCGATAATAAATGCCAAGCGTATCTTATCAGTGTCGAAATAGTTTCATTCATGTTTCCGTACTGAGGTACGGATGATTGTGATTGATGATGACTTACCGAATTTTGTCCTAGTGACATCGCGCAGAATGCGCTCGATTTCCGCGGCGCGTTTGCGCCGATTGAGCACCGGCGCGCCGACGACGCTATAGTTGTGATTGCCCTGGCTGTTGAGGAAGAGATAATACTCCTTGGCAGGGCGTATCTGCGCCTTAACGACGCCGCCCTCGCCGCCGCCCAGCTCCGACTCGCAGTTCATGCGGCGTGTGTCGTTGAGGAACGTCAGCCGCAGGATGTCATCGCCGAAGGCGTACTGTGGTGACTTGAAGCGCGTGATGATGCGAAACGAGACGCTGTAGTTGTAGTACCGCACACGGCTCATGCTCATGCTCTCCGCCTTGGCGAGCACCACCGTGTTGGCCATGTAGGCTTTGCGTGCGAGGTCCTGCTCCTGACAGGGTTTCGCTTTACGATTACCGCGCACTTGCGGTGGTTGTTGATGATGCTGCTGCTGGTTGCGCGCAGGTGAGCGTTGCGCACGTTTGGTGAGCGGTTCGGTGGGTGCCGGCGCCGCCCCCGGCTGCGGGATCTGCCCGTCGGGCGCGCTGGGGGCTGTCGCAGCCGGCTGCTCGACGTAGACGTCGATCCGACTCGTGGGGATGTGGTGGTGTTTTGCGTGGCGCAGGCGGTGGCGCGTTGTCCGGCGGGCGCCCGCCCCCGCCGCCTCCAAAGCACTCGCGACACTGACACTCGAGTCACTGAACCCGCCCATCGCGCCGAGGCGGTCGCTATCTATGCGGAAACCGGAACAACTCAAGAATGCTACCATCACTAGAAAGAGAAAACATACAACGCATTTTCCGCACGTCAATTTATACATTGCTCACTTTGGCCCGTCGAAGTTTCGGCAAAACCGCACAGTTTTATTTTTATTTCTATTATTGGGTGTCAATTTGTGTGTTTATGTGTGTTGTGGTCTATCCTAGGGCGCCCGATTGTGGTATTTGATGACGGTGGTGGCGTCCACGTGCCGTGCGCTCTTCTCTGGCTGCTCGTGATGGCGGTGCGCCGACGTCCACATCGTGCGAATTTGCGCCCTCGGGTGGCTCAGGTCGAGTCGCTTCGGCATGCCGGTGTCATCCGCGCTGGGACTGATGCGGTCCGATCGCGGCTCGAGGCGCTCCCCATCCCATAGAAGTCCTTACGACTTCCCCACAAGTCCTGCGCGGCGCGGTGGCTTAAGTTGACACTTGAATTTCGGCCTAGCGCGCGCGCGCGTGTCCCTTTTCGCGTTCGTGGCTCACTCGCCGCTAATTACAACAACGCCGATTTTACAACGCGCGCCGCGCACACTACACACACGCGTCTATTTATACAAACAAGTTCGACGTGCCGATTCCATATATAGCACGAATGGCATGGAAACGCGCGCACCGCCGCTGTGCAATCGTCCTAATCATCGATAGAAAATCCACGGAAAATCGCCGAAAATAACATTCAAAAAAAATTATTATTATCGGCTTGTTAGAGTATCCGTATCCATTCAGTGGCACTAAATTCACTTGTCAACCACAATTGTTTGTTCGGAATTATCCAGTGGACACTTTCGGCGAAGTTTTGTCGAAGTTTTCCGGGGAAGATGCGAGTGCGCTCGCGGCGACTTTCGAATGGGAAATGTGCGCGCTTCGCGGGCCGACGAGCAGCGAGATACTGACGACTGGCGGGCCGAAAGCGACGCGCGCTTCGGAGGTGCCGCGGAGCGGTGGTGGCGGCGACGGCGACACGGCGCCTCGCGCATTAATTTATACCCTTTGAAGAAAACTTTTCGGAAAAAAATTTAAACTTGCGCAGTGTCATTCGATTAGCAGCGGGTTAAAATAAAATATTTAGATAGTTTTTGAATTCGGTGGAAACTCCTTGAGGAAAAGTGCGTGCGGGCGCGTCGCGCCAGTGTTGTTAACCGATTCGCTGCCGAAGCAACACTGAAACGGAGCGAATGCGATGCTCCTCCGAGCATCTGGCGGTAGGCGCTCGAACTGGTGGCCCGGCTCGTCGCCGCTCGCCCGGTGGCATCCGCGAGAGCGAAGCGAACGGTCGAAGCGCCGCCGGGGGAGAGACAATGGTCGTCGCGACGCCTAAACGTTCGATTTTTTCCTATGCCTCCACAAACATACTCACATATCCAACCAACAAATCCACTCCACGCAAATCTGCTCGCTCAGATAATCAAATCGACTTTTTTTTTCCAATTTATTATTTTTTGGCTCTTTTCTACGAACAGTAAAATATCCGTACTTACAATGAATTGTGTCTATTATCAATTGTGATTATCAAACAATCCAGGCCAAGCACGCACATTTTTCTAATCAGTGTTTAATCGACTGGCGCCTATCATAAGTAACTGAATCATTCAACTTGAAATATTTCAGATAGTTTTATTGTATTGTACACAAAGTTCAAAATTCTCAGAATTTCGTAGTTTACAACAATCTCTCTAGGAATTCACTCGCTTCGGAGTTTTTCGTCAATCTCACCGCGCTGTGCGCGTTCCCTAAATTTAATTTCTGTTTACTCCGATGTAGCTGCGAGCCGCGTACGAAACTCGCGCCGGTGCGAATTGATATCTTCCATATTTTACGTTTTACGTGCTCGAAACTTGAAAAACCGTTCGGAAAACCTCTTAATATATTATACCAATCTAAATTCGCTCGTTTTGTTGTTGTGTTGAGACAAATATGAATCGATTTCCGCCAGCCCAGCGCATAATGATATTGAAAGTGGCGTCCGCGCGCGCTACGCCCATTTCCGGTCTATATATCATCCACTCTTTTGTTCTTCGGCACGTCTCCACTCCGCGAGTTCTTAAGAGCGCTCGAGTTAATTAAATCGATTGAAGTTTATCCCCGAAAAGTTTTGAATTAGTTTTGCTGTAAATTGCGATGTTACGGTCCTGTTGGGGTAGTAAGTAAGGTTCGTTTCCTTCGGGCGGGCGGTGGCGCTCGTAAATTGATAGTATTTCAGCGGTGGCGCCAGCGAGCGCCTCAGCGAGACGGCGGCGGCTGTGGCGGCGGCCGATATATCGATGTGGAGTGTATTTTCATGTTCATGAAAACATTTACCGCACACGAGAAGAAAAAAAAAATGAACATGAAATTTATATAATATTTATTAAATATTGACTTTTGCAAAAGTTTCAAAGTCAAATCGTTGTTTTCCTTGTTTTTCTTCGTCTAGCTTTGGTGAAAATCTACGATTGCTGGAGCTATATCTCTCCGATAGTCTCCCGGCAGTCTCCATAGTTTCCACACATTTATGCGCGCCCACCCGCGAGCTTACACACACACACATGTGTGTACATGTGTATAAGTGTACGCGGATGAGGTCGTTGACTCTTAAATGATTTTGAATATGCAAACAATTTTATATGATTTTTATTTCGGTCCTTTTCGCCCGCCCCCGGCCACCGCCGCCGCCGCGCATATTGACCACTTTCGGCGGAGACGCGAAGACGGAGAGACACTTTGATGCTATCTGTCCGAATGGGGTGCAGATCGATAAATTTCGTATATGTACTTACACTCGAAGCAAAAATGTTTAGCTTTTCATTTTTTCTGCTTCTGCTGCTTCTGACGACGCGAAAGAAAACAAAGCAGCAAATATTGGCCAATGTGAATTTGGTTGCGCAAGTCAAACACATCAAATCACCATATACGCGCTAATCTCGAAAAGAACTTAAGATATCATAGCGTAAAAGGCAAGAGAACGCATTCGGCCATTTGAATATAAATCACGCGATTATTGATTTTATTAAGATCGCTGATAAACAGATAAATAATAAAATATGAGTTATTGAGATTGACTCCGGCGCCTCGACTGGATTTTAAATTCGCTATAAATTTGAATACATATAAACTTAATTCCATGCGCAGAAAAATAAAAATATAAATTTTTAAACAATAGGCAGACAAACAACAACACGCATTGTGCAATTAAGTGAATTGTTTCAGGATTGTGAATCACACACACACACGGCTAAATCCAGATTAGCCGAATTCCCTCTGTTACGTAATGATTGTTAATTCAATTGTTTTACGCGCGTTGGAACCAAACGTGGCCGCAGAAATAAGTTATTTATTTATTTATTTGAGGTCTATCGCGAGTTTCGATTTCGTTTCCAGCGGCATCGTTTGACATTCGCGCAAGAGTATTTGTTTTGACTGCGTCTCGCAAAGCGTCTGAGCCTCGCGGAGTCCCACACCGTTGGAGAGTTTGAGTTATTGTGTTTCGGGCGGCGCGGGTACACGTTTCGTATTTCCACACGGCGCGCATGCTTTAATACGGTTTAATTAGACGATTAAAATATGCGCGGAATTCGATAACCGGCGCAAATCATTGCCAACAAACAATTCGCCAAGAGCAGCAGCAGCAGCGCAATCGTAAATCTATTGCGGAAGGTCGAAACAACAAATTCATTTTAATTTTTGGGTGCATAAATATTTCAATTTCTATCGCTAATCGAATGTGATTGGATTGCAAGTCGATGAGATGTTAAATTCGTGGCGTTGCGGTAAAAAAAAAAGCAAAGAATTTGCTTTATGACACTACGAGTCGTCGCCTCGCACGCTGCTCTACCTACTACCTTTTCGGCAAGAAATAAGCGTTTTTTGCGCGTTGTCGCTTCCAATTCTTTGTTCGCGGCCACCGTTTTCAACTTCCAACTCGATTGTTTACAGTTCGTGTGGCCGTCTACGGTTTTGCATACGGCGCGCACCAGACACAAGCACACCGGCGAGCGTGAGAACATTAAAGTAATCTTTTATTGTGTGTCCTGTATTCATCTTCATCACTCGACGCTGAAAATCTGTCCGAATTGAATCTGTTGAGATTTTAAGATGTGCTGCTGCGTCGTCAAGGATTAGCACGTTTCGGGACGATCGTGCGAGCGGTTTTGTTCCGCTCGTTTTCGACGCACACGTATTTCACGCACAATTACTTACACAAGGGGTGGTTTCATCCCTCTGACGGTATTCACCGTAGGTGTATGGGTTTGTGTGTGTTTATTTTTTCTGCTGAGTGTTGAGGTGGACTTTCACACATCGTAAGCTCGTTATAATGCTGTCATTGTTGTGTGCCACCTTTCGGTCTAATTTAATCTCCAAATTTGCCATTGCGACACGCAGACGTAAGCTCTTTGACTGGTGACAGCCGCGGAACCCACAAAATCTTCGCTTAACCACGCATCTTACAAATTTTAAATTGTTTGTTTGTTTGTTGTGTAATAATTAAATTTTTGCCTACGTACATTTTTTGTTATTTTTATATTGAACTAACCTTAAAATTCGAGTTTTAATTAAAACTGTGGCAGGTGTGAATTTGACCGAATTCAAGCGAATATCCACTTTTTTGCCGATTTTTAAATAGCATAACTCTTTTAATATTTGTTTTGTTGATTTCGTCTTATTATATGTTTCATATTCAATTGAATTTTTCTGCTTTGGTTGAAATATTTATGAATTTACTCGCTTTTGCCCGCGACTTCGTCCCGGTAGTGTTTAATAAAAATGTAATTCATTTTTACTCTCTTGTTCTAGACATAGTATGTGTCAATTCTATCAATAAGATTCGCAATTTTATTTTAAACAAATTAATTATATAAAGAATTGCTAATAATGCACTTCAGCGCGCCATCTCGGATTCAACTATTTAACTATAACTATGATTGAATCTCAATGCCAACTTTATGCTATAGAAAAGGGATGTTTTTAGGGTTTCCCCGGCAATTATCCGAATTTTTCTCGCCGTAAAAACCATCCTTGGACTTTAACGAACATTTTAAAAAAGAATTGGCCAAATTGGTCTATGCGTTGTTGAGTTATGCGCTTACCAACAGATTTTGCGATTTATTTTTATATTATAGATTAGATTTGTGATCAATATTTCATTCACCGGTAAAATTGAACTACCGATTTAAAATTAATAACCTCAATATGAAATATTATATCATTTGATTAATATTTTCAATCTCAATTGTTGATTTTTGTGGTCAAACCGAATTCAGTTACGCTTTGCTTATTTTTGTTGGCTTTTCACACGTTCACAACTATAAACGCACCTTTTGTATCTCATGAGAACGCAGCGTGCAATAGAAGCAGACGTGGAAACACCTAAATACGCGAATGCCATAATACACATTGTGTGCTGATTCAATTAATTAAGGTCATGTGAAAATATTGCGACGATTCATCCGACGAAATCGAAAACTCCATTACATTACAATACAAATACCTCTACATATAATGCAGATATGTATCGAACACCCTGTATGTCTGTGGGTTTCTGTATTCGATTATGGCAAAAGCAAACACAAAGTTTATTTATAAAATCCCGCATTATTGAATTTTGCGAATTCCGAAAATTCTTCGAATTTCTCCTCTTGTCTCGTCTTCGGCTACAAGACAAGACTTGTCACTTTTTTCACTCGTGTTTAATTGCGAAATTAACTGCCGGCTAATTAACAACTCGCCTAATCCGGTTCTCTGCACGAGCGCGCAATTCGCAATCAATCGATTTGCGCACTATGCGTGCATCGATATAAGAGATGCGCGAGCGATTTTTAATCATCATCATCATCGCAAATTCGATGCTAATTTTTGATTGTCTGAAAGTAAATGGAAATAGAAACGTTGTGTGTTTAAGGAAATGACGGCTTGAGGCGGGATTAAAGCGGCAGTACGCGCACACAATTCGATGAAATTAATTATTTTCTCACGTTCCAATTGAATTTATTGCATTTATTGAATCGCGCGGATAATTACGCGCTTAAATGGAATGCGATCAATAGTGCAACTAGTTGTGAACTTTATACTCTGTCAATGTTTGACTAATCCACAATTCATCCAATATTACAATGAATTAATCATTTTTTTCGGTTTGTATGTTGTGTTGAGCCGCCACTACCTGCCCACTATAATCTCCCTGGTTCTTGTAA